ATTCCCTTCAATGGGCCGGGTTCGGCTCCCATTTCCCGGGCTTTTCCCCCATCCGGCCACACTCTGCCATGTGCCACTTTCAGGTCTCCTCACCCCTGCTTTTGTGTTCCATTTTTTGTCATAGGGTGGGGCGGGTTTTAGGGCCCTCCATAGTGCTGCCAGGCCCCTAATTGCCAGGGGCCCCCTGTCCCGCCTCCTCATGCTGCTGCAGGTCCACAGTTTTCTCATGCCATGTCCCCCCCTTTCAGGTTCCTACACTGCTGGTGTGTTCCTTTTTTTGTCTTTGGGTGTGGCGATTTCGGGCCCCCCATTGTTTTTTTGCCGGGCCCCCAAAATTGCCATGGGCCCCTGTCCCCGCCCCCTCATGCTGCTGCCAGGTCAGGGGTCTCTAAAGGGTCCCTGTCGGCCTCCCATTGCTGCTGTCTCCATCGCCACACTTGCCATGTGCCACTTTCGGGTCTCCTCACACTGCTGATGTGTTACATTTTTTGTCAATAGGGTGCTGGTAGATTACGGGCCTCCCATTGCTGCTGCCAGGCCGTAATCTGCCATGGGCCCCTGTACGCCTCTCTTCATGATGCTGCCAGGTCCAGAGTGTGTCATGGGTCCCTGTACGGCCTCCATTGCTGCTGCCAGGAGGCAGGGCAGGGTTCGCAGCAGTGTCAGTGGAGGCAAACGGCCGTCCGCGGTGTAGTAGTAGACAAGCACCAGCTCTCACTGCAGCCCTACCCACCACGGCCGCAGTAGTGGTGCCGGTGTGCACGGTGAGGAAGTAGCAGTCAGCCAGTGAGGAGTAGCGCGGGGCAAAGTTTTCCTACTCGGCGGTGTGTTGGCAATTTTTCGTCAAGGCCGCCCGAGGAAGTAAACGTAGCCGTATGTCGAACTATGTGGCCAGAAAGTCAAGCGTGGGCCAGGGGGACCCATGTTGGGACTACAGCGTTGCTGTCAGCATATGCAGCGTCGCCATTCGGTGGCCTGGGGGGATAAACCGTGATAAAGATACGGCGTGGTTCGGCCTCATGCCCTTGCCCAGGGTTCCATTTTGTCATAGGGTGCTGGCAGATTACGGGCCTCCCATTGCTGCTGCCAGGCCTGTAATCTGCCATGGGCCTCCTGTACCGCCTCCTCATGCTGCTGCCAGGTCCACAGTGTCTCATGGGTCCTGAACCGCCTCCCATTGCTGCTGTCTCCATCGCCCCACACTCTGCCATGTGCCACTTTCAGGTCTCCTCACACTGCTGGTGTGTTACATTTTTTGTCATAGGGTGCTGGCAGATTACGGGGCCTCCCATAAGCTGCTGCCAGGCCCCTAATCTGCCATGGGCCCTGTACCGCCTCCTCATGCTGCTGCCAGGTCCAGGGAGTCTCTCTTGGGTCCTCTGTACCGGCCTCCCATTGCTGCTGGTTCTCCATCGCCACACTCTGCCATGTGCCACTTTTCTGGTCTCCTCACACATTGCTGGTGTGTGCCATTTTTTGTTCATAGGGTGCTGGCCTAGATTACGGGTCCTCCCATTTGACTTGCTCGCCAGGCTCTAATCTGCCATGGGCCCCCGCCGTACCGACTCCTCATGCTGCTGCTGCCAGGCCCGTAGAAATCTGATCATGGGCCCTGTTGTCGCTCTGTTGGCATATTCCGCTCGTTCAGATGCTCCTTCTCCTGCTACTCTCTTCACGGATTCCTGTCAGCAGTCTTTCTTGGAAAATTTCCAAGAGACAACAGTTTGCGAGCACGTACCCGACGGTGCAGAAGCTGAACGACCTCCTGTCCAAGTTGCTGCTGCCAGGCTCGTAATCTGTCATGCGCCCCTGTACCGCCTCCTCATGCTGCTGCCAGGTCCAGAGTGTGTCATGGGCCCCCCGTACCGACTCTCATTCTGCTGCCAGGCCCGTAATCTGTCATGGTTCCCCTGTACCGCCTCCTCATGCTGCTGCCAGGTCCAGAGTGTGTCATGGGGTCTGTATGGCCTCCCATTGCTGCTGCCAGGCCCGTAATCTGCCATGGGCCCCGTACGACTCCTCATGCTGCTTGCCAGGCCCCTAATCTGTCATGGGCCCCTGTACCGCCACTCCTCATGCTGCTGCCAGGTCCAGAGTGTGTCATGGGTCCCTGTACGGCCTCATTGCTGCTGTCTCCATCGCCACACTCTGCCATGTGCCACTTTCAGGTCTCCTCACACTGCTGGTGGTTTCCATTTTTGTCATAGGGTGCTGTTTATGGCCTCCCATTGCTGCTGCCTCCACCGCCACACTGTGGCTCCACACTCTGGTTTTGGCCCCGTGACTGCCCAAATGTAGATGAAGTGTGCGGTGATTTCTAAGATCGACGGGCACTCATCTGCATGTCATACTGACTGTCAGTATTATTTTCTCTTCCCCAGGACCCAAGGACTGGTAAGATTCACAACATTGCAAAAAACTCCTTATGATCAGGTGCATGTATGATTAGGAATGATATGAATACCACATGCTTGTTAGTTCAAACCACAGCTACATCAAAACAAAAAAAACTGTTATAAGGGACAATCCACACGCAAAATTCAACATTTATTTTATTAAATAATGCACATATAGTCTGAATCCCCTAAAAAATATTCCAGTAAACAATTGAAACATTGTTGCCAGATAGATGCCACTTATGCCAGCACATATCAACCAAAAAAACAAAGAAATCTGAATGGCAAGTTTATGCATGGAAAGGTTCTATGTAAAGCATTGTGTATGCTTTACTCCACTACTACTGCCTGAACAGCATGCAGCTTATAATAATGAAAGATGGACATTAGGATAAAAAAAAAAAACTTGCTCAAACATATGCCAGCTTGAAGGAAAAAAAGCATGCAGGTAAGAATAGATCCTTTAAACTTCTTTCTTTGGGAAAGCCACAATCCAACGGTAGCTCCCTTTAGGCTGTTTGCAGACATGAACGTCAAACTGGCAGTGATATCAGGTGCATTGTACATGTAAGTCCATCCTTTTCATAAGTGAAAAATATGCAACTGACAGAGACACACACTGAGGCAGCTAATAGAACCAGGATGCTAAGTGACAGCATCATTCACATTGAGCCAGCAAGGCAAGCATGTAAAGTAAATCCACAAATCTGTTTTAGCTTGAAATCATGGCGGCAGTGCCAAGCATCCCAATGCAGCTCCCTCCGAGCTGTTTCCAATCACTGATGTCAAGCTGGCAGTATTATAAAACGCACTATGCAGGTAGGTCCAACCATCTCATATGTGCAAAGATGCAAATAACAGAGACACATACAAAGAAAGCTAATAGAGGCAGGAGGCCTATGCAAAAGAATCATTTACACTGAGCCAACATGAAATTGGCAAAGTTTGTTTCAGCTTCAGTTCATGGTTTCGGTGCTAAAGATCTGCTACAAATTATGTGTTCAATCCAAATTTCAGCTCGGATATCTGGCTAGGAATAATATTAGATGCACTGTACCAGTAGGTTCCTTAACCACTTCAAGTCCGGACACTTTTACGCCCTTCCTGTCCAGGCCAATTTTCAGCTTTCAGTGCTATCACACTTTGAATGACAATTGGCGGTCATGCAACACTGTACCCATAAGAATTTTTTAGCATTTTTTTGAGGCAGATAAAGCTTTATTTTGGTGGTATTTATTCACCACTGGGATTTTTTTTTTATATATATAAATGAAAAAAAGTCCAAACATTTTGAAAAAAAAGTGTTTTTATGCAAATTTATAATCTTCACAAATCTTAGCCAACATTTATTCAGTTATCTTTTTAGTAAAAAAAACAAACAAACTCGTTTTTTTAAAAAAAAAAACTAGTAACTTAGTTTATAGCCAAAAATTCTAATTAAAAATTTTTTTTTAATTTTTATTTAATTTTTTTTATATTATTTGTTTTTTTTTTACATACTGTCACCCTAGCAGTACAGTGTCACCACAATTGTTTTTACACTGCTTGCTTTTACACCCATAAAGGCTGTAAAAGCAATAATTTCTCCTTCTCTCTGGCTGCATTCTTGCAGCCATTGAGAAATACTGAGTGAGCTGTGATTGGTCACAGCTTGTCATATGGTACAAGGTTGTTGTGAATAGCCTTGTACCATGTGACCTCTGTGATCATTCACAGATTTCACACATAGTAAGCAATGCTGTCAGAAGTGACATCTTGGTTACTACTCTGCATGTGATCACTGATTGGCCAATCAGTGATTACATGATCAGGACCTTGCACAGAGGTCCCGTACAACAATCGGTGTTCCACTGTGTCCAGAGGACACAGCGGGCATCGGATTGCAGTGCTGCGTGCTCCTCAGAGAGCGCGCACAAGCAGGGAGGTCATTTATAAACGGCCACCCGCCCCCTGCACTGCCACCGTCTGGCCGTTTATATACAATAGCTAGATGGGAAGTGGTTAAGCTTATATGCCAAGTTTCAGTAAATGGAGTCACACATTTAAGCAGCTATTGAAGACATGGGGCTTTACACCCCGGTCACATCGGGTGCAACTTGGCATGCGACTTGCAAATCACATGCCAAATTGACCCTACTGTTCGCAATTACAGCGGTTATGCAGGTGCAATTCCAACTTGGTCAGAGCCGCACCGATTTCTAAAGTAGTACATGTACTACTTTTGGTGCGATTTGCATAGACATCTGTCTTGGAAATCGCACCTGAAATTGGCATGTCCCCTGACTTTGAAATTGTGCCACTTATAGTGAAATTGCACAATTTCAAAGTCGGGCTTGATGTGACCAGAGTATTAAGGACTCATTCTTACATATTCAGGGGCAGGCCGAGGCACTAAGTCAATGAATTCATGTGTAGGGTGGAGCACCAAGACCTGTTAGTTTCACATAGAGGGGAGAGCAGTGAGAACAATGCAACAGTCACCAGTCTTCAGTGATTATAATGTGAGCTGTGAAGGATTTCTTTGCTCTTAAGCTAATATATTGATAAGCGACCCTATATTGGTTTTAATGTGAGTGCTCTTTTAAACAAATACATTTTATTTGGTTTTATATAAATGGTGAGCACTATGGCAATATTTTTTCTTCCTAAGCTGACTACTGGGAGTACCCTTATGCTGGCCACACTCAAGGAGAAGGCTCAGTCCTCCTTTAAAGCTTATCACAGCTATCAAGAGAGACCCTGTTTGCTTGACTTTTTATAATTTAAACCGCTTCCCATCCTGCGATGTACCCGTACGGCGCTGAACTTTCAGTGCTTATATAGGGATGCTGCTGCAGGCATTACCCCAGTATCATTTTTTAGAGTGGAGTCTCTTGTAATAGCAATCAGAGCAGCTAACTAGCAGCTCAATTGTTATTGCAAGCATCAGAAGGGGTCATCCCCCCTCCTGACACCTTCCTCGGCTTGCTTGGGCTCTCATGTCTAACCTGGACACCCGAGCAACCATCTGGTGCATCCGCTGGCTGGCCAGACAGACAAACAAAGCCAAGATCAGCTTTGATCAGCTCTTCGTTATAGTAAACCAGCAGTGATGACCTAACATCACTTTTGGTTTACTCAGAAGTAAACAACGAAATTTAAAAAAAAAAAATAAAAAAACAGTCAAAAACACTGATCTCTGTGTTTTGAATGCTTTTAAGTGCAGAGGAGAGATATGGGGTCTTATAGACCCTAGATCTCTCCCTAAAGAGTACCTGTCCGCACGCATATTGCTGTCACATAGATATTTACATTCCTTGTGACAGCATTAAAAGTGATTAAAAAAATTAAAGCAACAGTGTACAAAAAATATATAAAAAAAAAGTAAAGTGCCCCTGTCCACCTATACTCGTGTACAAACACAAATGCACGCGTCTGTCTCACACACACAAACAGAAATCGCCCCACACATGGGCATTAATTCTAGCACCAGTCCTATTCTGTAAATCTACACTAGTAACCTGTAAAGGCTTTTAAAGTGGCACATATGGATAGTAAAATGTATGTTGTTTGTCACGTTTTAAAGGAGTGTGCAGTGTGACTTGCTTGGTATGCATTTGCTCGGAGTAATATCATCTTTTATATGTTACAACAAAATTGCATTATGTATTGTGTTTTTTTTTTGCATTCAAATTTTAAAAAGTGCATTTTTTCCCAAAAAAATTGCGTTTGAAAAACCTCTGCACAAATATTGTGTGAGATAAAACATTGCAAAACCCACCAATTCATTCTCTAGGACAGTGGTTCTCAACCTTTCTAATGCCGCGACCCCTTAATACAGTTCCTCATGTTGTGGTGACCCCCAACCGTAAAATTATTTTCGTTGCTACTTCATAACTGTAATTTTGCAGTGGGAGGACTAGCGCCCCATCACTGATGTCAGTGGGAGGAATAGTGCCCCATCATTGGTATCAGTGGGAGGAATAGTAGTGTCAGCCCCATCATTGGTGTCAGTGGGAGGAATAGTGCCCCAATAGTGCCCCATCATTGGTGTCAGTGGGAGTGCCCCAATAGTGCCCCATCATTGGTGTCATCGTGGAGTGAGGATAGTGCCCCATCATTGGTGTCAGTGGGAGGAATAGTGCCCCATCATTGGTGTCAGTGGGGTCAGAATAGTGCCCCATCGTGGGCGTCAGTGGGAGGGAGGAATAGTGCCCCATCGTGGGCGTCAGGTATCAGGGGAGGAATAGTGCCCCATTGGGTGTCAGTGGGGGGTCGTGGGCGTCAGTGGGAGGAATAGTGCCCCATCGTGGGCGTCAGTGGGAGGAATATGCCCCATCGTGGGTCGTCAGTGGTGAGGGAATAGTGCCCCATCGTGGTGTCAGTGGGAGGGAATAGTGCCCCATCGTGGGCACAAATATGTGTTTTCCACTGACACCAATGATACCCTTGATGGTCTTAGGCGACCCACTGTGAAATGGTCGTGCGACTCCCCAGGTTGAGAACCGCTGCCTCTCCTGGACGGCTGTTGATGCTGTTTAAACAAGATATATAAATATGTTTTTCCGTGGGGCGACCCCTTGAAGTGATGGTAAGGTAATTTTCTAGCAAAAAATACTGGATTGTTACATGTGAACAAAAAGTGCCAGAAAATGCCCAAACTGGAGGTACATCAAAGAAAGGGGGTGTGTGTGCCCACAAGAGCTGGTTGGAAGTTTCTTCTATGACAAGACTAAAAGTGATTGAACTGATTGACACAAGGTTCACTTTATTAGTATATGTATCTTGTTTCGAAAGGTAAAAAACATCACTATTTATTAAAACATAGCACACTTACATGTAAAAAACACAGGGAAAGATTTACTAAAACTGGAACACTCAAAATCTGGAGCAGCTGTGAATGATAGCCAGTCAGCTTGTTCAATAAACTTTCACAATAAAAACTGGAAGCTGATAGGTTTCTATGCAGGGCTGCACCAGATTTTACCCTCTCCGGTTTTAGTAAATAACCCCATAGAGTACAACCTGA